TACTTCACGAAATTTCGATTGTTAATATCTACAATCGTCTTCGGATGACTGTCAGTATATTTTTGACGACCAATTATGTTTTCCGGCGACATTTCATCTAATTTTGAGCGGTTACCAAAACGCTAGATTACTACTATAGTTTGTTTTATTACGTATTACTACTAACTTCAATTATTGATATGTTTTGCGCAAAATCACTCTTAAACTTGCATTCATTTTTTTGTTCGTTATTTAAAATTCTGTTAGATATAGGGGCATAACGAGGACATGGCTATGGGGCACCCCATTGTGAACCATCTCCATTATGCTCCTGAATCTGTCTTAAAATCTGTTTTTCCCTTAATGAGCTGTGGCCCAATACGAACGACAACTCTCAGAAGTTGAGAAACATATGCGAGCAAAGGACCAACGACGTCTTACATTTTAACGTGTGATTCCTAACACGGTTGCAGAATCATCCCAGTTTCAACCAGATAAATTCTCTCAAGAAAAATATCTGGTCGAGGCAGGAATCGAACCCACGACTTTCCGATCGTGAGTCGGGCGCACTACCACCGCGGTCAATTCCACAATTGGCCACAATTGAATGGTCTGTTTATTTAATAATATTACAATAATATTATTTATTTTGTTTTAGGTTTTTTAAAAATGGTACGAACTTACAAAAAAAAAGTTCCAGAGGCTGTAGTTCTGTAGAAAACATGAAACACGCAATTGATGCAGTTTTAAGCAAATCAGCAGGTTACAGAAAAGCAGCTCCTCGGGGCCCCACAGACCACATTGGAGCGTCACGTCACAAAAATAAGGAAGTGCGAGGTATCTCTTAATTCAGCTCCCAGGTAACATTGAACCAGTATTTTCCAAACAAGGAGAAGATGAGCTTGTTAAATATGTAAAAGATATGGAGAAACGATTATTTGGATTGACAACTGTCGTCCTACGAAAACTAGTCTATCAGCTCACAGAAAAAATTGCTAAGACTCACAATTTTAACTATTTTAAAAAATTACTGGCATAGATTAGTCAAAAGGCTTCATGAAATATCACCCGGATTTATCCATTCGAAAACCAGAAGCCACATCGGCAACGCGAGCTATGGGTATTAACAATAAAGTGGCCTCTACCCCGGGGCACGATGAAGTTTTCATGAAGATTTTGTGAAATTAAAAATATAATTTGATTTCTTACTTCACCAAATTTGGTGCCAAATGATAAATTAATAAGTAACCAGAGTTATCATCAGTTTTCATCACTTCCAAATGTGATGGTGTCTATAAAGTCCGTATTTATNCTCGCCAACCGACTATCATCTTATGTGACCACTTAGTCACGTAGACATTCACCCATTTAGTTGGTGTTCAAAGTATTAATTCATTACTATTACGCTCACGTTCACTAACCGACTGCCTAGACAAAACAAAATAATCCTTTCCATTCCGTTACCTCATCGAAGGTTACTATCTTTTGAAGCACTTCGATAACTTTGTCATCGGTTGAACCTTCATCAATCAGAACCAGGCAAAAACGGAATTCGTTGATTTCATCAAATCCCGATTACCCTGTTTTTATACTGACGAAATCAGTTGACTTCTGTTACGTTGGCAAAAGTGCATAGAGTCAATGACGCTTATTTTGATTAAACCGAATAAATATTTACCAAGGTATTACAGTTCAAAGTAGACTTATAAAAACGGACAAACATTTTGAAACAATCTAATATTAGATTAGCATCTATTATCAATCCTCAAGCTGACTGAAATTTTCTGCTGTATTGTGAAAGCAACCGTCAACCAGAAACTCTTTATTTTTGGTTTTAAAAATATTCTTTTTTTTTTTTCACTTCTAATAATTGAAAAATTTTGCATCTGCAAACAATGGTCAGTTTTCAAAAAATGAGGTTGAGGTTATCAAATCACCATGTCTCATTGGGTGATTGTGTAGAAATGCAGTTAATTTTCTCAGCATTTGTGTCAGCTAATTGATAGCTGACACAGCCAGATATCCACACAGAAATTTAAATTGACTAAATCATTTGTGATGATGGTTGAAAAATACAGACCAAAACTATTAGCAATTATATTTCTATTTTATTATTTGACATCAAATCATGAATAAATCGCAACTTAGTTCTGCCCAATTCAAAACTATGACAGTTTTTTTTGTTTTTCTTGATCACTTCTAGGAATAACAGTTTGGGGTTCAAGTAATNGTACATCCTAAAGACATATTTCCCTTAGATACAATTACATTTGAAATATATGCCATTCTTATAAATACTTCTGAGTGCAATACTATTTTACAGTACAGCCCTTGTCTCTTTCACTACAATTAGATTATCACAATGATGTATGGTGATGAAACCTGAGAAATTTTGGTAATATTGCAAGGTGCCAGTTCACTGAAATCATATCAGTTTTTCAAAATATCTTGTATAACTGAAACAACACAATAAAAAGTAATTTTTAATTGCATGAGAGGTAAAAAACAATTTACAAAGTAATTACCTACTGATAAAAGGTTCTACATTTAAGTAATCTACTCTGTAGCATCTTGCTTTGCAACACCGAATGGTTCATCAACAGTTTCAGAGCCAGAATCAGCAATAACTACATCTTGCTCTGGTTTGTCACGACTATCAGTTTTAGTATTTTCAATTTTCCTTATAACATCCATTCCGGAAAGGACTTTACCAAAAACTACATGACGGCCATCTAGCCAGGATGTCTGTTTGGTAGTTATGAAAAATTGAGAACCATTAGTGTCTTTGCCAGCATTAGCCATTGACAGCCACCCAGCCCCATAATGTTTCAATTTGAAATTCTCATCTGCGAATTTATTTCCATAAATACTACGACCTGAAATACAAGTTTTTAAATTATACTCTTATCATTAATAATAAGAATATTGCACTCATATAAATAATTAGAAATATTTTACTTCACTTATATGCAAATTTTATTCAGGATGTTTCTATTGCGTTGACTATTATGCATAATTTGGATTTGAAATTGTATGTTAATACAGATTATTGTGCAAAAAATAAAATTTATGAACAACTGCTTAGCTTCTCAAACTGGCTCATTTTTAAATTAATTGATGAAAAGCCACATCAAAACTAATTTATACAAATTACTGTGGGTTGGTAGCCTGGTGCGTTGACGTGGATGGCTTGCTCCGCCCACTCAATAAATTCCTATCGTCCAACCCGTATTAGGAATCACATGTTAAAAGGTAAGACCTTATTAGTCCTTAGCTCGTCCATGTTTCGACTTTTGAGAGTTGTTGTTCGTAGGGGGGCGACAGCTAGTTACCGGAAAAACAGATTTTTTTTAAATGCCATTTTCACTATGAACGGTTTACAAAACTGTGACATGTGATTCTCTACTCAATAGTTTCCTCAGATAGGATTGGCGGTCCCGCTGGCTGACAGTCCGTGAAACGTGTTGTGGTTTGATGCGAGTTTTTTTATTTCTCATTGGTTTTGTGATATTTTTTCCACTATTAAAACCTAACAGTGTACTTGTAAGGTTTTGAAATCTTTTTATTCAATTTATTTAGAGATGCATTTCTATAGTAGAATGCCACTGAATGATCTGCTTCGTATTTATTCTAACAAAAATACTTTACACGATCCAAAAAAAAACTCTCTGTATCACAGCTCAGCTTAAATTTCTTGCAAGTGTCCATTTCACGTGTTTGAGTACTTTATTACTCCAATAGGATTTGTCGTTTAAGCAACAACTGAACATTGGTAAGATGCACCAAGTAATGTTGCGTCTATCTCAACAGTGCAAATATTGTGCAATAATTTTGCCTGAAGCAAAAGTTAAAACTGTACCAAAATGCACCCAATGTAGAGCAGTAGCTCATCCCAGCTATGCCAGGAGACCCAAAAGTGAAATTCAGCAATGATTTGTTGCCATATTGTCGATGAAGGAGAACTTAATTCCAGCCAGGTGGATTTATACCTGTTTTTCATTGAAGAAAAAAGTGGTATAGATGTAGATCGCTTAAAAAATTAGTGTTGTATCTTCGTAGTTCAATCAAATATAAAAACCTTATAATACAAGGACTACCAAAAAAAATAAACTACATTCAAAATGAAGATATATGTTCTCATCCTACACATAGTAAAAACTCAGTACCTGGCTGTGTCAAGGACATTCATATTTATAGATGCATTTCTATAGTATAATGCCATTGAATGATTTGCTTCGTATTTATTCTAACAAAAATATTTTGCATGATCCAAAAAAAACCTCTCTGTATCACAGCTCAGCTTAAATTTCTTGCAAGTGTCCATTTCACGTGTTTCGAGTACTTTATTACTGCAATAGGATTTGTCGTTTGAGCAACAACTGAACATTGGTAAGATGCACCGAGTAATGTTGCGTCTATCTCAACAGTGCAAATATTGTGCAATAATTTTGCCTGAAGCAAAAGTTAAAACTGGACCAAAATGCACCCAATGTGGAGCAGTAGCTCATCCCAGCTACGCCAGGAGACCCAAAAGTGAAATTCGGCAATGATTTGTTGCCATATTGTCGATGAAGAAGAACTTAATTTCATCCAGGTGGATTTATACCTGTTTTTCAGCGAAGAAATAATTGGGTAAAAATTTGTGTTGTATCTTCATAGTTCAATCACATATAAAAACCTTGTAATACAAGGACTACTAAAAAAAATCAACTACATCCAAAATGAAGATATATGTTCTCATCCTACACATAGTAAAAACTCAGTACCTGGCTGTGTCAAGGACATTCTTAGTTCGAATAGACAAAATGAAACGAACTCGAACAACTCCAAAACAAATACAGAAAACAGAAGGAATGCCAAGTTGACAGAGACTAGTGAAACGGCTGGGACTAAAAGACCCACCAGAGTCCTCAAATATCACCGCAGCTCAAGTGGGCGCAGCCATTCTTGAAGCTCAATAGAAACTATGAGAAATGTACAACAATTGAACACAGGGGGTGACGTGAGGCAAACGAAGGTGGTTGGATAAAAGTAAGAGAAAAACAAAAAGTGGGATAAAATGATCAGTCAACTAAAGAATTCTCAAATTTGTTTCACTTCATATTACACCAAACACCAGCCCGAGCACCTAAGGTGTTATTTCAACACCTCAACACGTGTTTCGATCACCAAGTGATTATCTTCAAGAGGGAGATTAAACTCATTTAATCTTCTTTTCGAAAATGATCACTTGGTGATCAAAACACGTGTCGAGGTGTTAAATAACGGTTTGATGTTGGGAAAAAACTCCAGTAAGGGTCATATATAGTTCAATGGAAGTTACTTTTGAAAAAGACTATTTAAAATAAAAATGTTTGAAAAAAGGAGACCAAATGGGGCTCCCGTTTCTTTGTCAAAAAGAGGATGCCAACAAAGGCACTGGATTCTCAAACCCAAATGTAACATTTGCTAATGACACCTGTATGACTGAATTGTATACATAATCTCGGTTTGAATATAAGAAGCATAAGAAAAAAATCCAAGGCATGTGCCTTTTCCTGAAATCACTCAGTTATCCAGAAATCCTATGGGCATCCGAAGATGAAATCCAGATGGTTAGAATATTGCAGCGTAATACTGTAGATCTATAAGAAGGGGTGGTGTTGGTGTTTTTGTGAAAAATTACCTAGTAGGAAGTGTAAAAAATATTGTGCTTGATCAAGTCAAAAGCCATATGTTTGAAAGTTTTTATTAAAACTTGATGTCGAAAATGTATGTTTAGTATTTGCTAGAGATGTGAATGAAAATAAAATCTACCTTTTTAAGATAAAGAGAAAAGTATTAGATATTGTAAGATGTTTGTTGTAAAAAATCAAGTGGGTTCAAAGAGGTTCCATGTAACCTTCTGGAAGAAATCTCTGCAACTATATTAGATGTTCTTTTCTATCTGGTGAATATCTCTTTCAGAACAGGCACTTTTTCCCAAAGAATTGATAAAAAGCTACAATTGTTACTGTACAAAGAGGAATGACTATACAAGTCCTAAAAATTTCAGACCAATTGCTCTCTAATAGATTTTTCGAAAATTTTTGAAAAGGCGTTTCAAAAATTCCATCAAAATCAAACACATTTACTACAAGGCAGTATGAATTTACAAAAGGCTGTTCAACCCAAGATGCCATCTTATCATTTTATACAGTATTACTGGAGAACTTTGCATGTACCTTTGAGAAGGTTCATCTCCCACTGCTTCTAGAAAAGCTAGTCACATGGTATTAGAGGACCTTCCTTGTCTTGGATAGAAACCAATTTGATGGATAGAACCCAACAAGTACAAATAGTAGAAAATGGAACTGTTTATCCAGTAGATTACCTAGACATTATTTGTGGAGTACCTAAGGGAGTGTTATTGGCTCAATACTTTTTTCATAAATGATTTAGATATATACCTCGCCAATTATTTACTAACCCTTTTTGCTGACGATGAGTGATGAACAACTTTCAAAAAATTCCACACACTGCATTAGTGAAATGAAAACTTGGTGCATTGCAAATGGCCTGAAATTAAACCTCTCTAAAACAGATTTCATGTACTTTAATATGACTGGGCACAAACAAGATCATAGTATTCTTGTGCAAACAGGAGAAATACCAAATTAATCTTCAAGACATAGTGAAAACGTGAAATTCCTTGGCTTGCACCTAGATAGCAGGTTGACGTGGGAGACTCATGTTAAAAAATTGGTTAAACAGCTGTCAGTATGCAATTATGTGATTTTTCAAATGCATAAAATATCCACAATATCCACCCTGAATATGTAAATATCCTGGATGTGCCAATTCTAAGTTAACACATGGATTGTTATGATGCGGAAATTGTACACAAATTGAATGAGTACTACATTTGCAGAAATGTATCCTCAGAAGCATTTTCAACCTCAAACACACTGACTAGTGTCTTTCTGTATATTTTAACTGTCATCAGTCTACATATTCTCGAGGCTGAATTTCCAATCTTCAAAGATGTGAATAAGTAATTACTAGAAATGGGGACAAACTTTACTTACCCACAGCTCATCTAACACAAGTTCACAAAGGACCTTTTATGACATCAATAAAAATCTATAATAAGTTTCCAGTTGATGTAAGAGTGAAAATAGATTTATCGCTTTCAAAAAAGCAGTGAAAGACTATCTGAAAGGCCATGCTTTTTATTCACTTGGGGAATTTATGGCAACTAAACAGGACTTCTAAATCCAAAACAGATTTTAATCTGCTTTGTGTTTTGTAACTTGATGTATGCATCTGTATTTTATTCTATTTTTTCTAACTTTGAAGGTATACACTTTTGTAGTGAGTGCCCAGCTTCTTCACGGATGATTGGAGTTCATTTTTCTCTGAAGTATATTGAGTTGTCGAAACACATACATTTTTATGACCAACACCTGACTTACTTACTCTTTTGAATTGTATTTTAACAAATGTTGAATATATCAGAATTGAAATACTGCTGAAATAATGAATCACTATGGTATGAGAAGAATAGGAATTGTGATTCAAATTATACTTGAGAACCGAATCGAATGGAGAAAATTTGTAACAGAACTTCTAATTTTCCTAATATCAATTGTGGAGTTCTACGTTCATTTTATCTAAATGATTTCAGGATAATTATTATTGATATTTTTAATATTTGTAAATTATACATCATCGAGGAATTGTGCAACTCAAAATTTGTTGTTTCAATGAAGATGAAACCTGAACTTTTGTTCATTTCTGTAGAAGAACCACTTTAAAGGTAACTTTTTTTTGTTCAACTTGAAATATTAAGATTATCACCCCAACCACTAGAAATGTGAAATTGAACCCTTATTTTTCCAAATCAAACATTTCAACAATTAAAATAAGTACCAATTTTTTTTGTTTTATACGAGACATAAATTCAGCCTACTGGTAACCTAAGACACTAAATGAAAAGCAAAAAAGTAATGTTGCAAAACTAGCAATGGGAACTATTACACAGTGATTCTGGTAGCTTAAAAGAGATATATCAATTTAAATTATCATCGTTCACAATTTTACATCTCAATGTCTCAAAAAAATATGCCCCAATTGAAATTCAAAAATAAATGCCTTAACTACCTCCAGTGCCATCGCCTTTTGTGAAATCACCACCTTGGATCATGAAATCTTTTATCACTCGGTGAAATTTGCTGCCTTTATATCCTTCTCCTACAGGTTTTTCGGCCAATTCTTTGAAATTTTTGACAGTTTTTGGAACAGTTTTTCCAAATAATCCAATAACAACTCGGCCGATTTCTTCGTCACCAATCTTGATGTCAAACCAAACCTAAGCAAAAATAGTCCTTTCAATTTCATTGTAACAATATTTTTGTATTAACATACCTTATCGGTTACTTTTGGTCCTTTCTTTGCAGCATCGTCACTTTTAACAAACACCAATATGCCTACAAATGCTAAAGTTACTAATAGGGTTTTCATTATTCCTCCGTAACCCAACTTCTTAAAGAAACGAAATACGAATGAATTTGAGATGACCATGAAGAAATAAGAAATTAAAATATCATTCTTTCTACAGTGTTGTCGCTTTTCTTGTAGAGGATATTTTCAGGGTAACCAAATATTTCCTCGGTCATTCCTTGCAAAATATTAATTTCATTGAATGATGTGGCAACAGAGCGAATGATAATGATATGCTTTGAGTAGGATATGTGATATCATCAAATCTTCTACCAATCAATTTTGGCCACGAGATAATCAAATCTTTTGATTGTACCGGTTATTACTTCATTTCATTATATTAATTCATTTGAGTTGCAGCCCCATCAAACTGAAATATACATTCGTTTAATACCTATTTTAAATTTGAAATTTGGTCCAAAAATAATTTCTAAAGAATAGTAATGTTTCTTCATTATAACTAATGATCTAAAAAAAGTTTACAATAAACCTGGGACGCATGGTGTTAGAGTTCATTTCATAATGTTTTGTTTGGCTTCCGGGTAATGCCGTGGTTTTCTTTGGTTATAATCTCCAAACGTTTCAACTGCAACTGCGGCAGTCATTTTCAGTGGCGTGGTCGAAGTACTCTTCTTGACGTGTCGATTGAAACTGAAGCTCTCTTTTCTGCCGTGTCATTTATAGTGCTGATTTTCCGCGCACTTTATGTAATGGCGGATTCGCGCGTACTTTCCGCGCGATTTGGGTAACTTGATTATGTGTACCACACAGCATGCTCTGTGGCACTCTGTTTCTGCACATTAAAAGCGGAAAAAGATATTTTACTTCGTATGATTGCACTTAGACTCATAGTACATATATGATGCAAGAAGTAGTTTGAACATTTCAACTTCATGCGACCAAGGATCAACAGTCACGCGCTAGATCCGTTGTGTACAAATGGGGATTACCAGGAATCCAGGAATCTCACTGTATGCGATGAACAGGCAGAATCATATCAAATTTGGATGATTTCAAGAAAGTTGAATTTGGTATGCCATGTTTAACTGAGGACTCCAAGAAATTCTGAATTGTAGGTACAAGAACATCTGAAAATCTAGGCCTATCTTCACAGACAGAGAATATGAATATCTCAGAAATATACCGATTTATAATTTCAATAATGAAAACCCCCTTACTTCTTTAAGGTCAGGATAACGCTGAACTAATCGTCCCTAGACAGGTACGAAGCCTTTATAGTCACCTCCCACTAGCCACAAAGTGTAAGTTGGGATGGACGATTCATGGACCCTGTTTTAATCCTGAGGAGAAAAGCGTTGCAGGGGTACACATACTTCACATCTATGATACAAACAACTACATGAGATGGTTAAAGATTCATTCACAATAGAGACTTTCGGAGTTCTTCCATTAAAAAAAAAGGTTAATGCTGAGGAGGCTAGAGCTATGAGTATAAGATTGGATTATTATGGAAAAGTGATAATATGGTTCTATATGAGAGTGAAAGTAATGCTTTCTAAAGGCTTTTATACATGGAAACGAGATGTTATAGAAATCCTATATTTGCTGGAGCTAAAATTGATTTCTATATGTGAGAAAGCTGTCACCTGAAGAAGCAATGATTCAGAAAAATAAAAACAGACTGGTAAGTATTTGATGCGGCAGCAAAAGCTAATGAAACAAGCCTAAACTACAATCTCATTCCAGGACCGGATATGTTGGAATCATTAGTTGCTATATTATTGAAATTCTGATAAAAAAAGATTGGATTCTGTGGAGATATCTGTTGAAAAACTGTGTTAGGAATCACACGTTAAAAGCTAAGACCTCGTTCATCCTTAGCTCGCACTAATTTCGACTTCTGAGGGTTGCCGTACGCAGGGGTGCGACAGCTGGTTAACGGAAAAAACAGATTTGTTTTTAAATCTGTTTTTCATTTACCCACCTGTCGCCCCCTATTGTGGGGGCGACACGACAACTCTCAAAAGTCGAAACTTGTGCGAGGACTAACGAGGTCTTACCTTTCAACGTGTGATTCCCTGAAATATTTCACCAGGTTAGGATACGAAAGGAAGGCATATACTCAACGTCTGCTCTGGAGAAACTTGGACCGTGGAAGAGATCCTGACGTCTACGAAATGAATGTGATGTTATTTGGAGCCACCTGCTCGCGATCATGTGCCCAGTACATACATCAAGAATAAAAATGCAAAGGAAAATTAATGTTTACAGATGATAAAGAAAGCAATCTTGAGCATGTTCTATAAATACCGGGACTCAACAGATTCAGAAAAAGATGCCCTGGACATATTTTTTAAGCTGTACTGGTCATGCCACCATTCGAGGATCATTAAACATTTAGGGGGAAAATTTGGCAGATGGAAAATTTAACACCCAACTCTATATAGAAATATTCGACCCACTTGGACTGCTTTCATGTTTTACCATAGTTGCAAGGATATTGAATGGGATGACGTGATCTCAAACAAGATGTATGAAACCTGAATTGAGATACACATTTTCTGTGGTGCCAACGAAAAGGCATTTGCAGCTATAGCTTATTGAATTAATTACAAAAACTAAGTTTCATTGGTTACTGGAAGATCTAGAGTTGCACCCATAAAAACACTTTCTATATCTAGGCTGGCGTTACAAGCTGCAGTGTTGGCAAGTCGCTTGAGTAACTCTTTGAAAGAAACGTTGGAGATAAAAATTATAGGAGATGGCCGAAAATCTAAACAATTCGTGGCACACAGATAAGGCGAAATACAAGAACGAATCAGGACTAAAGACTGGTAGTGGATTCCGTCATCACTAAATATTATAAAACTATAAGAAACCATTTTGATGAAACTATAATACAGTCTTTACAAAATAATAGATTTTTGGACCTGAAATTTTAAGTAAAACTGATGAAAATTAAACTGAAAAATCAGAAAAGAAAAAAAAAGAAAAATGCTCGTCTTCTGATACTTGTATCCACGAATCCTACTGAAAGAAGCTATTACCTCTAATCATTTCCTAATCGGGTATGCACACAATGAAGGCCCCCATGGAGACTTCCAAAATATATTTTTACGACGCGAGTGGTGAAAATCTCAATATTAAGTATACACTTTTTGAACTAGGTGGATTGAAGAGTATTTACCGTCGTCTCTTATTCGCCGAACAAAATGGGTTGATAATCAAAATTCTTTGAAAATTGGCGATATTGTTGTAATTGTTGGTGATAACTCACCCAGAAACTGCTGGAAAATTATTAGAATTATACCAGAAGTCAGTTAGGTATACGTCGTCCAATCACGAAGTTATACAGGTTCCAAGTAGAAGCAGAAGTGAAAAACACTTCTTCACGGAAAGGAGAATGTTAAAGTTCATTTTTAAATGTTATCAGAATTCATGTTTGTACTTTAATTCAGTTCTCTCATTTTCACCCTATATTTACATTGTCTTGCTGAATTTTACCTAGTTACAAAACAGGGAAATGTTGCTGTTTTTAATATTAACTTGAATACAAAAAAAATTAAATGAAAAATAGTTTCTTTGAAAGAGAACAAAACATATGGAGAAAAAACCTCATTGGAATACCAAAATAGCTGCATATGAATAACCAAAAAACCGATGACAGGTATGCATATAGACATATCGTAAGGACTCTACTAAATGCCAGCATTTCCCTTCCACCGAGGTTATCTTATTATCAATTCCGTTCATTGTCAATATTGAAAACGCTTCTTCAAACTTCGATGACCTAAAAAAAATTTTTGGAAAACAGTGAAAACACGGCTACCTATTTTTGAATCACTAGTTGTACGCAATGCATGCGCATGGACGTCACAACAAATATTCTAGAGAAATTGGTATTCTTGAAAAATTCATAGAATAATCGTAGCACAAACTCAAGAATAGACAAGAAAGATATTTTTGTGGAAGAATCAATGTTTTTCGGTGTTTATCCTTTCACAAACTGAAAACAATCAAAAGTAAATCAATAATCTGGTGAAGTGTAATATGAGAGACAATTTGACTGTTTGTTCCACTAACCGCTCACAATGATCAAAATGCTCCTTTCGTCTTTTCATATAACGACCGCGGTTGTCGTGGTTGCGGTGAAAACGTCACTTATGACGTCATTACTTTCGCTCACGCGAACCTCACAACGACCCATCCGTAGAGGTGGGTCAAAGTGATCCTTTAGTATATTTCGGCATAAATGTTATTTATCATTCGTGATTATATTTTCAAAATCTTCAGTGTATATGTGATATAAAATTATGTACCTGAAATTATTGAAATCTTTATCTAAATAACGATGAATTACATTATCATAATCAATGATATACGTGCCCTAGGTTTTCAGTTTTCACGATTTTAATTTTGTGAAGTTGCAGTCCACACTTATCTGAACTAGATGAATAACTAGTTTCTGAGGCACTATTGCGACGCAAAAGACATTTTGATTGCATTCAAATTTAATTTGTTTGGTAACTTCACTGAAATTACATATAAAAAATTAAATGATACTTTTTTTTATATAAAGTTAGCTTGCAATTATTGAAACTTATTGTAAAGGTCTACGTCACCTACTTTAAACTCCTGCTTTATTTTTTCAACCTCGCCATTTGTAATGTACCTATACTCTCCATAATCCATTCCACTTACGTTTAGACAGTTAACGTTCGCAAACAAGTGGGACGTGATCTTCGTGAGCGTGATCGTTGTGAACGCTTAACGTGCGTATTCACCAAAAAAGTGAGCATAATCGAGTATTCGTGTATGTTTACTCATGTTCGCTCATGTTTGCTCGACATATTGATGTCTCGTCCACACCATAGCGAATATCTTCATGTTCGTAGTCGTAGTTGATCCATCTACTTTGTGCGAGCAGTGCGTGCGCGGTAAATATGTCTAAAGGCACGTATTCACCAAAAAAGCTAGCACGAGCGAGCATGAGCGAGCATTCGTGTATGTTTGCTTGTGTTAGCTCATTATTGATTATTGATGCAGAATGCTCGTTCACTCTTGTTCGCTCTTGTTCGCTTTTTTGGTGAATACGCACTTCTAGGGGCTAGTTCATGTTGGAACAAACGTCGCATAAAAAGTGCGATATAAAATAGCGTCATGTTTATCGTAAAAAAATTGAAAAAATTGAACTCTTTTGCGATTTTCGCAAAATTTTATACGTCAACATATATTGAGGTTATATTGCTATTTTAATTGACTCTCGTTTTTTAGGCCCATATATCGAAATTTAATCCGAAATGGACGAATGTGTCAGGTTGTTCAAATTATATCAACTTTACCATATATATAAAGCTTCGTTGAGAAAATCCCGTCGTTATGGCATGAGAAATATTTTCAAAAACAGAAGAAAATATGAGAATATGAACTTGCCTTAGTGGAACGCACCGTGAAAATTTCACCCAGAAAATACTGTCGTATTCATGAATTTTGATTAAAAATTGAATATTCAATAGAAAAAATGAAAGTTCGGTACTTAACTTAGCTCTTCTTAAAAGGTTAACATATCACAAAAGTATCCTGATACATTATAAGTTAACATTTGAATAAAATGGAATTTTTCTATTTTTTAGTGAATGTGTGCTAGTCTTGATTACCATATGCACTACAACCATTGTACGGAGGGATTACAAGTAGTCGAATGAGAAGTTCAGGAAGCGTCATATGAGATGTGTAGAATGTATACTACGTCGTCTACGGAGTAGATAGCGGAGAGCCATATATATGGCTCTTCGCTATCGGCTCTTTTTGAATATGTCATTTGGATTGATATCAGCATGTGATTGATTATTAGAGTTTTGTAGTATATTATATTTTAGTCGAATATGGTATTCATTATAAACTATTGTAACTATGAAATTAGAAAATGAAGAAAATATGGCCGGTGTCCAATAAACAGAAAAGTAGCAAACATTTCATCTCCTATGCTGCAGATATAATCAGTGGTACATGCGTTATATCTTTTAGTCTCAGTCGTTGCTGAGACTCGCAGTTAACGCACATACAACTAATGATGTCCGCCGCAGTATCATATGAAACGTTTAGTAACGACTGACTGGTGAGCTCCGTCTTCTCTCGTATTTATTATTTGAGGGGATCGTGGGGGTAATTGTGGAAATAGTGGTGAAAATAATCGTAGGGATGGCGCAACGAATGGTGGTCTGGTGTAAATTATCACTTCCGATTGGTCCGCATTTTTGCTAGATTGGTTTGATTTGTCGACATTGTTGACAGATATGCTGATGGTAGGATGTCAATGTTAATCTGAGTTATATTTAGACCATTTCTGCTATTTCTGGCCTTCTTCAGTAATGGATAACACGTTATGTTGACCCGTATACCTTTTCTGTTGAAATTATTGGGTTGCCTATAGATCTACGAGTAAATGGCATCCCTATGAAGTCGTGCGTAGTAATGCGTTGAATTAAACAGGATAGCAGTTTCTTCGTCTTTCTGTTTCTGCAAGGACTTGTTCAGCTATCGGGGTTTTCTCCGGTTGAATAAGGCGGTAGCTACGCTTGTGTTTTTATATCCTGGTGTTGATGCTGCATTTAGTAGTTCCGATTAAACTGAGCCACAGGGACAGAAAATTCAATAAAAAACAATGAATGTCAGAGGCTCACTTTTGTCCTTGGCCGACTTCAGACTTATGAAGTTGTCATTTATCTTTAGTTTTGGAATTGAAGAATATTCGATTGGTTGATTTTCTTCAGTATCTTGGTTGAAAACCAATCAATTCATCGAGTATTATTAGTTTTTAACTGAAGCCATTCGCCAACTTCTTCAACTTCGATTACAATTCAGCCGCCAGTGGCAGGCATAGTCTATTTGCCTTACATAACCTTTGCCCATAAACTTTGCCTTACATAAGGCACGAACCGCATGGAAAAACAGTTTAAACGTCACAACATTAAGAACATTTTTACGCGAACTAATCAATTACGTAACACTATCACGTCGGCCAAGAACAAAAAGAGAGCCTCTGACATCCATCGGTGTTTACAGGATTCCCTATTCCTGTGGCTTAGTTCAATTGGGCCTACCAAATGCAGCATCACATCAAGATAAGGCTCACTCTCTCATTATTCAGTAAATTACTGAATATGGTTGGCCCCTCATTAAAGAAAACTCATTTTGCAGAAGAACCCCTCGCCCCTACAGGCAGTAACGTTAAGATAAGTGGTTTGAGGACACGCTCCTATTAAACAAAACTTGAGAAAATTGTTAGTCCTATATTCTGATATGATGGCCAGAAATTAACTAAATATAACTCCGATTGACATCCCACCAGTAGCGTACCTGTCAACAACGTGGACAAATCAGACCACAACCTAGCAAAAGTGCGGACCTATCGAAAGTGAGAATTCGCATGAACACATCACCACTAACTCGAATACCATCCACATCATCCCGCGATCATCCCAAACATCACCCCCACCACTCTCTAAAATTATAAATGTGAGTGAATACGGAGATCGCCAGCCAGTCGTTGCTAAGACTTCGAGATATAACCTTCGTCCTCGCAGTCAACGCATATACCACTGATGATGTCTGCCGCAGTAGCATACGAAACGTTCAGTACTATAAGTTCCATTCGACCACGGCCTACCAGCCTGGATTTAGTTCTCTCTAACCTGACCACGGCTGTGAAAGCCATGTTCTCATGAAGAATATTATTTAGATAATGGAATTACATATTTTCAAGTAGAGAAAATCAAAAGCAAAACCTTACAGGTAATTTAGAAAATCTTTCTACTTGCCATTTTCATTTTATTCAATTAATTATAGTAAAATGTTTAAAGCAACACGAGAGAAGGGTCTTTCATTAAGCACTTCCTATCTTTAAATTTAAATTGAACAAAGTGTATGGGAGATATCATCGAACTTTTCAGAGACCTATTGATGCCATTATGTATGGAATATAATATTGTTCAAGTGTCTGTCACGGCTTCTCTGAGTGTAGCGCATCCGAAACGTCCATTTTTTCATGACTCTGACGCATAAATCAGGCTCAATTTGACCGATGGTATGGGTTGTGTTGGCTTTGAGAACCGCTATAATTTGTGGCTTTTCCACATACACCTGCGACTTGTGAAAACCCCAGAGAAAAAGTCGAAAGGGTCTAATTGCACAATTTCGGTGGCCAGTTCACATCACCTCCACATGTGATGATCATGCCCTCAAACCGCTCGTGTAGAATATCTAATGTGGCATGAACTGCGTAGCACGTAGCGCCGTTCTGTTTATTCTCAAAGAAATATGGACCAATGACGCCGCCAGCCCAAAATTCATTCCATACAGTGACTTTTTCGGAATGCATTGAACGCTCTTGGATCTCATGTGAATTCGTATCGTACCAAATTAATTTTGTTTGTTTGCTTACCCATCCATCCAGAAATGGGACTCATCGCTGAAGATGATTTTCGATGAAAATTAGGGTCAGTTGTCAACTGCTCCAGAGCATATTCATTCAGAACACATTCATTCCTAGGTCAGTTGAATTTTGTACGGATGCAGGCCCAAGTCGTCACGACGCAAAATTCACCAAGTTGTGGTGCGAAAGGCCAAGTTCTTGTGAGCAATGCGAAATCGACTGCATCGGATTCTCCTACATACTCTCACAGACAGTGGAAATGTTTTCGGCAGATCTTGCGGTTCGTCGACGTACGGGTGTTGGTCGATCGTTCACTGAACCAGTGGACTTGAATTTATCCACCACATTGCGGATAGTCCTCTCGGTAGGACGATTATGGAGACCCATTTTGATAAAACAATTTTATTATTTGAACGTGTTGTTAAATGCTATATTCATCCATGGTGATTTGGCAAAATAGACTGAATAAATGACAACTAATTTGATAGATGTAGCTTCAACAAGATGTCAAAGATGTCAAATTGTCAAAGTTCGGAAGTCCCTGTTGAAACACTTGTTATATTCTGACACAATTTGTTGTCCAATTCAACCTAGCATATCGAATAATGTCATGATAACTAGTAAAAAACGATTTTGGAGAGGTTTTAGGAAGATAATATCTTCTGAAAATAACAATTTAATAGGTATTCAGGTACTACCAGCCATTGAAGTAAAAATGTTTTCTCTTGCACATAATGAGTTATTCATATGCGTTATATCAGAACTTACTATGGTAACTCGTACTCTATAATTACAATCCAGATGAGACTTACCATCGAAATATGTTGGTGTGAAATAATCCCAGACAGGTTTAACAACAACCTCATTCGGCCCTTTTCCGTTTAAGTATAATTTCAAGAAATGCAACCCTGATTTCCTACCCTGAGTATACAATAGCGTTTTGAAATGGTAAACCAGTGCAAATTTAGTATATCTCACTCCTTTACATATTAATACACTAATAAAGGATAGAAATACACTAAACGTGTATTGATTTGTTTCACCAACAGAGAACGCTATAAAACAATTACTTTTAACAACAGACTCAGAGTGTCATGAACGAATGATGTAAAATCACTGATTCTTCTAAATAGTATGTAAGATTCAAAAGTATTCTGAAATCAATTTGTCAATCATCTTGACACTTTTTCAAATTCCTAGTGAAAATGGTCTCCGTTGAACGATGAATTTTTTAATTCATTTTGCATCATTTCCCGCCCTGAATTCAAAACTTTACAGAATAAACTTTGACCTGAATATACAAATGTCATACCTCAAATCTTGATTTTCGGGTTAAAATTTTTGACAAAGAATAAAATAAACGTTTCATTTTTTAATACAGATTAATAGATTAAGTAATTGTCACAGTGATCAGAATGTCCGACACATTTATTAAGAACGAGAAATTTGCCGAAAATTTAGCAAATGGAGACATACACAACTCAGAATCTATCAGTGAGAACAGTGAAGACTGCAGTGAAAAAAACCAGGAGAAAAAAGTAGAAAATTCCGTCGATGATCCTAAAGAAGAATGGGTTGGAAACTTACAAAACTCTGAATCTATCAGTGAGAACAATGAAGACTGCAGTGAAAAGAACCAGGAGAAAAAAGTAGAAAATTCCGTCGATGATCCTAAAGAAGAATGGGTTGGAAACATACAAAACTCAGAATCTATCAGTGAGAACAATGAAGACTGCAGTGAAAAGAACCAGGAGAAAAAAGTAGAAAATTCCGTCAATGATCCTAAAGAAGAATGGGTTGACCTTCTTGGAAGTGAGGCAATAATGAAAAAGATTATCAAAGAAGGACTTCCAGACTCAAGGCCAGAAAGAAATGAAATATGTAGAATTAATTATGTTTGCTGTCTGGAAGATGAAACAGTAGTTGAAACTGCCAATAACTTTGAATTGCAGTTAGGAGAATCAGATGTAAGATATTTTCAAATAAAAATTCTTAATTTGATACTATTTCGTCTTCAGGTGATACAAGGCTTAGATGTTTCTTTGGGATTGATGAATCTGAATGAGAAATGTAGACTGAAAATTGAACCTAGACTCGCTTTTGGTAAAAAGGGCTTGCCACCTCATATTCCTAGTGAAGCTGTTCTGATTTATGACATCGAATTGGTTGCTGTTGAAAAAGAGCAAGATATTGAGGAAATGACTATCGAGCAAAGAAAACTCAAAGGGTAAGTTTGCATTTACAATAACCAAAGAGTGGACTTTTGTATGTTTCATCTTTATATTATCAACAACAAATAAACAAATTATTAAGTGGTATCAAAAACTATGGGCTATTTGGTATCTTCTCAAAAATAATAAACGAACTAGGAAATAGAATTCAGGACTTCTTAATTAACTTTTCTCATGGATATAATAAATCAATATAAGTTCTAATTTTTTTTTGACTTTGGGACTCCACATGAAAGTGAAAAATCGCTCAAGGATTTTGCTAAGAATACTTTGATAATTATTTATATAGTAAAATCGTCATTATTGACCAATTTCGGTGGTTAACAATTTCGTTAAATTATTTGAGCAGTCAGTAAAAAAAGATTAGTGAACTTTTTCAATAAACATCACGTGATAACTAAACAGCAATTTGAATTTATAAATAACAAAAATACTGAAAATGCCATACTAGATTTTGTTGAACAAACAGTGGAACCCTTGGAAACGTCTGTCGTCAAAATGCCTAGCGGTTTTTATTGACCTTGCAAAAGCATTTGTCACTGTGTCACATGACATACTACTGAGAAAACTTTTTGGATATGGCATATGGGGAAACGTTTTACAGTTGATGCAAAGTTATTTATCACAGCTGACACAGAGTAAAAATCGATAAGGAAATAAGTAAGCAGTTGAATATATCTGTTGGTGTGTCTCAGGGAACAGTTTTGGGACCAATTCTGTTTGTTGCTTACATAAACAGTATTACACAGATTAGAGATTTTCAGGGGCACATAGTTTGCTATGCTGATGACACAGCCTTAATATTAAAAGGTGAAACATGGCATGATGTTTTATATACTGCAGAATCAGAACTGCAAAAAGTTGTGATGTGGTTAAATGATAATTTACTCAGTTTGAATGTCAAAAAAACCAAATTCATGACTTTCTCACTGAATTGGAGTACTCAGCCGAGTAATATTGAATTGTTTCTACATAAACCTAGTAGCGTAACTGTAATTGTCCCACTATTGAGAAAACAACATCCATGAAATATTTGGGTGTAGTTATTGACCACCATTTGAGATGGGATGAACAAGTGTCACATGTCATTAAAAGAATGAGACTTCTCATGCATATAGTTTATCCATTTCACTTTTCAAAAATGAACTAATATTCTCCCAAGTTTTTGCCACAAAACTTTGTATTATTTTCATTTATTGATGCATCTTCCAATTCCATTTGTAGTAGATTCACTTTTCCTGTTAACAGTTTGTTCGTGTGTTTCAGTTCTGCATTCAGTTCGAGGAGTAATTTATTCTCAAATTTAAGAGATTCGATGATAATATCATTGGTTAGGTTATCTTCCAGTTTTTCTTGTTGAAAGTTTTGCTTTTCACAACAGATTTTCCTGCTAGAGCAGCTTGCATATGACTAGTCGACTATGATAGTCTAGTCGACTAGAATGTGGTGAATGTCCCGCCATATGTACAAGCCCCACTGGTAGAAATTTTGGTACAAGGTACCATGAACATGTCATTTCGGATAAAAAAATCATTAATGTACGAACATCTTCAAAATTCGAAACATAAAATAGATAAAGATAATTTGAAGATCCTGTATCTAATATGTATAATGGTTTTTAAAATAGTAATATTAACACGAAGAAACTACTTTTCGGTGAGTAATTTAATTATGAACTCATTATTTCTTGTAAAATTGAAATAAGTTTTGTGGAAGGTATATTCATGAAAATTCATTGTTACAGAGCCCTGAAGAAGAATTTAATT